AGAGGATTTTGCTATAGGGCATGTGTGCTTGCCAGACAGACAGAGAGAGAGAGACAGAAAGCGAGAAATCACCCCCCAGGGGGGATGGTCATGCTGCAATCCCTTCTCCTCCATTCTCTCGGGATCTTGGGCACGCACGCATACATGCCTGGCGTGAGTTTTAAGCCACCAGGTCCGGGACGCGAACCGCGGTCAACTTCATGGGAGCTCAGCGACATAGCCATTATACTAAGTGCTGGTTCCCTGTCCTTGTAAACAGATCTTAAGAATCATTTTTCAGGCCACTGTGTCTGTGTCAGAAGCCCCTGACTGTAGTTGGGGTTTGTGGGTGGCTTCCAGGGATCCTGAGGGTAGGAGATGCAGTGAATCCACACAGCCAATTGCACAGCCCGAGGCTGCCACTCCTTTCAGGAGCCAGAGCTCCCTTTGCTACTTCCGGGATGAATGTGTGTAAATATGGTGCCCTGTATTGACCACGGGGTGGCTTCACCTCAGTCCCTGGTCAGACATGCCCAGTTGCTGGGTGCCTAATGGCTCGTTCTTGACTCTGTTGCAGTCAGCAGTTGGCCACGAGTATCAGTCAAAACTTTCCAAGCACTGTTCACAAGTCGACTCAGTCCGGGGATTTGGAGGCAAGTTTGGCGTCCAGGTGGACAGAGTTGATCAGGTGAGTGATGCGAATGGTGTGTGGGGCCAGTGGAGGCGGGTGTTGCGTGGGGGAAGATTGGAGCTGCGTTCAGCCCGGACATGCCACCTGCTGTGTCTGCCCTTTGGGCCACTTGCAGGAGTGTGCAGGTGCACTCTGACCCTGTGGGACTTCAGGGAGGGGCTCCAGATCAAAGGACTCCCAGGATCTCTACCGGCATTCCCATATGCTTCCATATAGGCTGGCCTGGAGAGGAAGCAGGACAGTCACCTTGAAGGCCTTTTCTGTTTGCTGTAGAGATCTGTGTTGCTATTACTGAAGAAACGGAGTAGATTACCCTTTTCGTAGTGCTCCCAGGACTGGCAGCCTTGGATTTACCCAGGAATGTGCAGCAGGGACCTTTCCGTCCTTCTGCCCCTGTGACAAGGCAATGTCAGGGCCCACAAGGCGGAGCGCGGCACACATACCTGTTTCCGGGGCTCTGGATCTAGTGTTTGCAGCAGTTCTAGGCCCGAGCGTGTCTGGTTCTCTTGGCTCTGGGCCACCAGCTCCATTGCTTTATAGTGTAGCAGTCGGGAGCCTGGACTTTAGACAGACCTGTCTGTGTTCTGTTCGTGACATATCAGCCATGGTTCCAAAGCTGAGTGTGTAAAACAAGAGTACTGAGGGACTATGTGCGAAGCGAATCAGAGGATGTGTATCCGATGCCCCCCGTAGTGTCCAGCTCCTGGGAGGTGGACCTGGCAGCCACTGCCACTTTGTCATTACTGTTGTTCTTAGTCTAGTGTGTCTGAAGAGCAAGTGTACGTGTGGCATAGGGAATGTTTCCTAGTTGGCGTGGCGTGGGTGGCAGCACAGGCTGCCTGGGGTCTAGCATAGCCTGTCAGCTTCGTGAAACGTTTTATGGCCTGTGGATTCAAAGCACCAGAGCTTTTGGTGTTGAAGGAATTCCGCTGAACTCGGCTTAGGAAACCAAAGGCCAAAAAATAACATGGTTTGTATTTTTAAAAATTCCATGTATGTCATGAATTCGGTGATTGGAGGCACTGAAAAATGCATTTCTCTCTGTCTTGTCTTTTGGTAATCACAGTCCGCTGTAGGCTTCGAATATCAGGGGAAGACGGAGAAGCACGCCTCCCAGAAAGGTGAGCTGTAGGAGATGCAGACTGGGACGGGGCAGCCCTTCCCACCATTAGCCTGGCTCCATGGGAGAGTCCCCTGAAGCCTGAACCTCTAAGTGATGGGCAGTCGGCTCAGGGAGGACTTTGCTGTCGTCTTTGTCTCCGGGCCAGCTGGGTGCTGTGTGGCAGGGCGTGTTCCCCATCACAGAGCACTGAAATTCTGGCATCGGTACTTCCCTCTTGCAGTGGGAGCTGCCTTCCCTTCATTTGAGCAGCGCTGCTCCTGCCAAAGTTGTCTCTCTGACTTTGTTGGCAAAGAGCTTACTCTCTTTCCCCCTGAAGCTAGACACCAATTGTTAAATTTTTGTTTTTATTTTACATGTACAGTCTTAAACATGGTTGTGATTCATCTTTTATTGTGTCATACTAGTCTCTAGAGCATTTTTTAAATGTCAAAGTGTATTGTTTCCTTAGAGTACTTAGTGACTTTTTGCAGGCTTGGTTAATCTTGACCCTGGGGTGTCATCACATCACGCATAGAATGAACTTTCCGTTCACAAGCAGTCTCGGTGTACTTAATCGTGGTATGGGCATGGTGGAGTAGTCTCATTTGTAAAGTTTTTCCTCTGTGGGGTCAGCCAGTAGTGTGGTACTTAAGGTGCCTGTGCCCCACATAGCTGACTGTGTGGTTCGAGTCCCACACCTGGCAGCTAGAAGAAAACACCAAATGTTTGTGCATTCTTGAAATCCCAAGAGGAGAAATGGAGAAGGGATTGTGGCTTGGCCTTCCTCCATCAGGGGATGTTTTCTCATTTTCCATCTCTCTCTGTGTCTCTCCAGTGAGCGCATGTGCTCTCTGACAAAATAAAGAGAAAGTTTTTGCTGCCTAGTTTTTTTCTATTCTACCCTTTACTTGAACAGTTAATTTTTTTTCTTAGTTCGCTTTAGTGGGTGTGTTCTTACTGGAGAGAGACTGAGAGAAGTGAAAAATCATGCCCTCTGGGAGAAAGGCCATGTTGTAATCTGCTCTCCTCCATTCTCCTTTCAGGATTTTGGGTATGCATGCATTCGTGCTGGCATGTTTTTCAAGCTGCCTGGTCTGGGACTCAAACCGGATAGTCACCATGTGCGATCCAGCTGCCCTAACCACCATTCACCACCTGGCTGGAACAGTTAACTTTTTCTTTTTTAGAGAGGTTTTTAAAGGGCGCATGGGCTCGCCAGAAAGACAGAGACAGTGAGAAATCACCCCCCAGGGGGGATGGCCATTCTACAGTCCCTTCTCCTCCATTCTTCTCTCAGGATCTTGGGCACACATGCACACAATCCCGGCATGAGTTTAGCCACTAGGTCTGGGACTTGAACTGCTGTCAACTACATTGGAGTCCTGCGACATAGCCATTATGCCAGCTGCTGGCCCCTGGAATAGTTAACTTTTAAAGTGGGCGTGTAGCTTTATTTCTGTCAGTGTAGAACTGCCCTATAACTGTTGACAGAGACCAGAACTCCATTGTGCATGTGTCATAAAACGCATCCAAAATCCCCAGGGTGGCTCGTTGTGCATTTGCAGATGGTTTGCTTGATCTTTGTGAGTCTTAACCCCAAACATTTCTGTTTTACCTGGTTTAACAAAAGCAGCAGATTAGTTTTCATCAGGCTCATATGCTGACTGCCACCCTGTCTCCTTAGACTACTCAAGTGGTTTTGGTGGCAAATACGGCGTGCAGGCTGACCGCGTGGACAAGAGTGCGGTGGGCTTCGATTACCAGGGCAAGACGGAGAAGCACGAGTCACAGAAAGGTATGCGGTGTACCTTTCTCACCTTCCCTTAGACATTTACAAACCAACAGGCACGAGGGAATTTTCTCCCCTGTACACATGGGGTGTTGTTTTACATAACAAAGGGGATGCGTTCTGAGAAATCTGCCCTCACAAACCTGGGTGGTCTAGCCTACTGCACACCTAGGTACATGGTGTATGAACTGTGGGACCACCATTGCATGTGTCATGCTCCGTCATACATGGCCTGTCACTGACCAAGGTATTATGTAGCAAATGACTGTATATACTTAATATGAGAGTGTCTTCAAAAAGTTCATGGTGGGCTGGCCTATGGCCTGGTGGTCAAGGAGCTGGCTCCCCCATTGCTGACCACACAGTTCAAATCCTGGACTTGGCAGCTTAAAAAACACCTTGTGCATGTGTCTGTGTGCATGTGTTCAAAATCCCATCAGGGGGGAGAAGGGATTGCAGCGTTACCACACCTTGAGGTTGCTTTTTCCCTCTACTTGTTTGATGAGCATATGCCTTTTGACAAAATTTTTAAAAAAGTTCATGGAAAATGTGTATTACAGAAAAACATGCTTGAATTTCAAAATTCTTTGCATCAAAATTAACTCTTTTCTTGGGATCAGCAGTTAGCATAATGGCTATGTTGCTGGACTCCCACGTAGTCGACCGCGGTTCAAGTCCCGGACCCGGTGGCTTAAACTCGCGCTGGGCACGTGTGCGTGTGTGCCCAAGATCCCGAGAGTAGAATGGAGGAGAAGGGATTGCGGCGTGGCCTTCCCCCCGGGGGGTGATTTCTCGCTTTATGTCTCTCTGTCTCTCTCTGTCTGTCTAGCGAGTGCACACGCCCTATAGCAAAAACCTCTCCAAGAAAAAAATAAACTCTTTCTTTAATTTCATTTTAAGTCCCCTTTTATGTTTCAGTGTGTTTTTTTCTTAAGGTTTTTGCCATAAAGTGTGTGTGCTTGCTGGAGAGAGACAGAAGCACATAGTGAAAGGGAAAGTGAGAAATCACCCCCACGGGAGGATGGCCATGTTGCAGTCTCTTCTCCTCCATTCTCTTCCTGGGAACCAGGGCACGCACACATATGCAGCCAGAGTGACCGTCAAGCCACTAGTTCCAAGACTTGAACCGGAGCCAGCCACGTGGTAGTCCAGCACTGTAACCACCACACCACTTGACGGCCCGTTTCAGTACTTTTTTCACATCAGCGTATGTGGAGTTTTCACATTTTAAAAAAGTACTTATCTTTCACAAGACAGAGATAAAGAGGAAGATAAACACCCTCAACAGAGTCTCATGCTCCTGTCCTTCCAACTCTCCTGGCCAGCCAGCTTTGTATAGGTGGACCTGGGAACCAGACCCTGAACTTCCATATAGCCTTCAGCACTGCTGAGTAGGTTACCACTATGCCATCATACGTAGGCCAGACTTTGCACTTTTTTTAAAAAAAGATTTATTTATTTAATTTTATTTATTATATTTTAATTCACCAGGGAGAGACAGAAAGAGAGAGAAAGAGAGAGAGAGTAGTTGAGAAAGCAAGCCATCAGGTCCAGAATTTGAACCATGGTCAGCTGTGTGGGAGTCCAGCACCTCAACCACTATTCCACCTGCTGGCCCAACTTTTCACATTTTTTAAAGAATAATTATTTTTATTTAACTTTTAAAATTTAGTTATTTATTTTTATTTTAACTTTTACCAGTGAGGGACAGAACGAGAAAGTAAGAACGGGAGGAAAAATGAGAAAGCAAGCCACCAGGTCTGGGATTTGAACTGTAGTTGGCCGTGTGGGAATCCAGCGCCCTTAACCACCATGTCACCTGCCATCCCCATACTTTTCACATTTTTAATGGTTACTCCATCATCCCATAATAGGAAGAGTCCATAATTTGTTTAACCATTACTTTGAGAATGTAGATTTTTTTGGGGGGACCAGCAGTTAGTGTAATGGCTATGTCGCTGGACTCCCACGTGGTCGACCATGGTTCGAGTCCTGGACCCAGTGGCTTAAATTTACACCGGGCGCGTGTGCGTGCATGCCCAAGATCCCAAGAGGAGAATGGAGGAGAAGGGATTGCGGCATGGCCACCCCCCCCCGGGGGGGTGATTTCTCGCTTTCTGTCTCTATGTCTCTCTCTGTCTGTCTGGAGAGCGCACGCACCCTA